AGGGTCAGTAGGAGCCGGAAGAGCCTCCTGGCGAACTTCCTATTTGGAACACGGTGACTAGTGTGTTAGCTATGTCCATTTTATATACGATCTATGGCTTTAAGATATGTTATAATGTTGTCACTCCTTCAAAAACATACCTAGAATTGTGTTTTGTTTCAGTCACACATGTTTGAGTAATCCTTTATTATTAGTCTTTCTACATCTCCACATCTCTAAATGCTTTGTTCCACCGTGTGATGTCATGAAGTAGTAGTTTTCAGGTTAACGACTGCCTTTTATCTTTAGTTCAGTAGAGATTGGCATTCTTAAGCCTGAAATGATTCTAGTGATGGTGTATGGAGTTTAAAAATACAATAGAGCCCCTCCTGTGTTACCACATGACATCACAAGGTGGAAGAGGTTGTTTTCCATTTGAGAGAAGAACTCAGCCTAATTATGCAGGGTTTGAGTGTTAAACATGTGTGAATGAAACAAAACACAACTTCAGGTATGTTTTTAATTATTAAACAACATTATAACAGATGTCAGAAAATAATAAGTAATATGGGACCTCATTGTCTCAGTACTATTAATCGCAATAAAAAAGAAATATCTCAAATTATCAGCTTTTGCAAATGTGTACAATGAGAAAACAAAGGTATTTTAAAAATGGGGGACTTAGCAATACAGTTTTTTTTTTTTTTTTTCCTGAAATTGATCAATCACAATTATTTATTTGATTTCTTTTTTTTTTTTTTTATTCTGGTCTGAACAACATGCTTTTATTAACAGCAGACAATTAAAAAGCTGATCATTGAGTTTGAAATTCAATCATTTCAAATCATCAATCAAAACTACACAGCTTTAAAAAGTGTGTAATTTTTAGCTTGTTACAAAAAGTCTTGATTGGCATAGTACTATTATAGTTATAAGAAGTGTGGCGCTGAGTTGTGAGCGGAAGTCTGTTTCTGCTGCTGAGTGCGAGGAATGAGGAGCCTGTGAACAATGTGGGCAAAAGTGAGAACAGATTTCAGCCAAAGAAAAAAATCTAACCGGAAATGCTGCTGATTCTGTCCTTGTTATAAAAGGCTATGTGGAAGGTTAGGCTGCACTCACTGAGATTCAAGGGCTGCTGAAGTATGAAAAGAATGTATAGCTGGATAATAGAGACTTCAGTGAACAATGTCAAGGAAGAAAATGTTGCAGACTTGAAGTGTGTGTCAAGTTCATTTTTTATAACATGATTACAGTAACCAGCGCTGGCCAAAGTGCGTCAAACAAGAGGGACGTAAAGTGATTCAAATAACACAAAACACAGGAGGAAACTATTAAAATATGTAACATGAACATTTCTTACATAATGCAGCTCGTCTGGCTATTGAAGGCCAGTGCAGTTCAGGTTTGGTAATAATGGTTTAAAATGATAGAGACCGGAAGATAACTGGTAAAAAAAAAAAGCAGTTTATAAAATACTTAAAAGTAATTTCCAATGCCAGAAAGTGCTGAAAATGTATTTGAACTAGAGGTAGACTGATATATATATAGATTGGCACATTTTAGCACATTGACTATTGGCCTAAAAGCTCCAGCACAGGCTGATATTTTGTTTTGGCTGACCTGCTGCATAAAGAGTACAGTGCATGCAAAATTTTATTTGCACACAAAATCTGCCCCACATATTGACTCAAAAATATCAGCAGAGCTCATTGGCCATTCGTTTCTCTTAATTCTAAACAATCAGTATCGGCACTGACCATGAAAACCCACATCATCTAATTTGAACTTCACATTTGATTTGCCATTTTGATCAATCACAAACCAGGAAGACATTTGGAAAGATGCAATTACAGCTTCCCAGGCCCAGTTTTCTTCATTCACATGTTATTGTAGCATTCCGTTTAGCATTATGTTTGGCTTATCAAGCAATTACAACCATACCTCAGTTTTCATAATTTCCCCACTGACATACAACTCTGATCGCACTGGGAACACGTGACATGTACATAGAAGAGATGAAAGCGACAAATTCCAGATGATTCGAAAAAGCACATAAGTATACAGTCTTCATTTTACAGCTGATCACGTTTACTTCAGTGAGTTTTATCACACTCGGTTTTAACAGATCCATGTTAGAGCCCATTGTCGGTAATTACACCAGAAGTTGTAATCTAATAAATTGTGATCTTTCCAAACATCTTCCTAGTTTGTGATGTAAGCATGAATACAGCCTATTGCCCAGTCTTAGGGCCTGTTTACACGAGAACACTTGCGGGTAAAAACGACAAAATATTTTACCGGAAGTGTCTTTCATTTAGATGGTGACAGCATTTTTGTGGCTTAAAAGTGCAAAAATCTGAAACCACCCTCCAGAGTGGAAAAGTTGAACATGCTCCACCATAGCGTTTCCATCTACACTGCCCAAGACACAAAACTCTGGTCAGATCTGCTCACGTCGCGTACGTGTTTACGTCATATACAGTACGCAGAAACAAATATGTCCGATGGCATGCATACCCAATCGAATTCCACACACTTTTGCGTCACCATATGCATGCAGATTCTCATCTTAACACAGAATAAAGTGAAGACGCAACGCTACTTTTACGTCTTCTGTTCAGGTCGTATAAACATAGCCTCAGACCTGTGACCACTTGGTTCAAATGTAATCCACCTGATGATGATTGTTGATTAGTGTTGCTGTAAATTACCTCAAATATGAATAAAAAGTTGCATGAATCTGTTTTTCTACATAATCATATTGTAAAAAAGTTGTATTTTTACATTACATAACAATTGCAGTGTAAAATAACAATCCAATCATGTATTTTGCACAGCTGTATTGACACTGTGAGAGAGTTCAAACATCTCTATCTATAGTATCTATTTACCAACAGCCCTGATAAAGAGACTGCATGTTCCTCTTATCCACCATAATGACAAGAGAACCTTATTTACTCAAGACACGGAGGAAAATCAATCAGGACTCTGTTTAGATTCAAAACGTGACGCAAACTTCCAACTGCTTGAGTGGTTTAACAAATAACACAGCAGCAGTGACGTGTGTGAAATAAAACCTGGACAAAAGACGTTGGGATTGTATTTTGATAGACCTGCAAATGTAGCTGTTAAAATGTTGAGATCAATAAAGTCTCATCGGAGTTGAATAATTTCTCCATCTCTGGTTGTTTAATGGCTAACAACAGCTTTTGTGATGTTGATGGAAAGCTGACTCAGACGCAATGATTTCTTGTCCAATTATTCAAGAATGCTCTTAATGTGTTCTGTAAAGCTTTTTTAAACCGATGGAGGTGAACTTGACGCTCTTTTGCAGATGTTTATATGTTTAAGAAAGCATTAGATGTGAGAAATTTTCCGGTTTTTACAAGTAGGAAAATACTGTTACTGTAGAATTTGCTCTTATAGATAAACTCAAACAAATTAGTACATTATAAAGTAGGGGCATGAAAAAATATTAAAATACCGTTATGTTGCGATACTAAATTTGATGATACAGGCGTATATCACCATGAGTATTTTTTGGTATGTTTTTAGGTATTTTTTTGTGACTGTACAAAATTTTGTTGCTTACTTTGCACAAGTAACGGTTTAACAAAGAAATATTGTTGCTAAAATGTATTTGGCTCTTAAAAATACAGCAAAATATCAGAATTTCTTACAATATATGGATTATCGTCATATCGTGATAATATGGTATCCTGAGCCATGTATCATACGGTATCATGAGGACCCTCTGATTCCTCGCCCTATTATAAAGTGCTGTACTATGATGTTTTGCAGATGTAACTTGAATAACTACAACTACCATCAAAACTACTAATACTACTTGTAACTAATATGGTAAATACTGCGATTTCTACTGCCACTGTCAAGTACTATTACTACTACAATCACTACGTTTTAACATTATTGAAAGTCTTAACTCAGCGTAGTTTTACTTTTAGTTAGAATTATGGAAATCAATCATCATTATTATTCATGTCAAAATATGGCATACAAAAACTAAAAGATTATAATAAGTGAGTTATTGACCACTTTAGAACACAATTTCATGTCAGCGCTCCAAAAAAGTAAAGCTAACATTTGAAGTGTTTTTCTGACTGTTCATGTCACATTGACTTACCTTTATCATTCAGAAAGTTTTATTTCACAAAGCTGGTCACAGATTAGACCATTGTTTCCCAAAGACTGGGTCGTGACCCTCAGGTGGGTCGCAAGATATTTTTTGGGGGCGCCTTGTCACGATCTGCATCTAGGTCTGCAATATACAGTTCAACAGACTATTTTGTTCCAGTACTGCTGGTTCAATTGAATGTTGCAAAGAAAAAGAAATGGACTACTAATGTCCAAATAGGCAACTTATGGATATCTTTTACTGTTGGTTAAATTACTGTTTTTTCATTGTTTAAAACTTGAGTAATACTAATTGTTGAGAGAGACACGATCATTCAATAACATATCAATAACATATCCTTACTAATGTTCAGTAATGGTCAAATCCACCTTTATTATGTGATTTACGAATAATGTCTGTTGACTTGGCTCATGAAGGTTTGTGACTTTTAAAATATGGGCCCCCAGAAAAAAAATTTGGGAAACACTGGATTACACAAATGGTATGATATTAATTAGGCAAACAGAAATGAGAGAAAATATGATGATTTCAATGTTGTCTGCTTATCGTGTCAATAACTGAATCATTGTTAAATCGCTGTGTTTTCTCAAAATAATCTTCAAACAATTCTCAAACAAAACACATACTACTACTATTATCAGAGCTACTAAAATACAAATAACACTTACCTTCTGTTACTGCCATTGTATTAATATGTATCAGACCATGTATTAATATCCGGTTATTTTCACTTGTTCCTCTCATGTCCCCTTCTGCTTAGTATCTGAATAATCCCCTGTGATTCCACCACTCAGACAGTATATACCATGTGTTATGTATGAGCTCTCCTATCTCCTCTCAAACTTGGAATTTCATTTGTATTCAGATCCCATTTACGTGTGGCAGCAGACCGCCGAGGACCTGACCGTGTGCGTGAGACTGCCGCAGGGCGTGACCAAAGATGATGTGATGTTCAGTCTGACGCCGGACCACCTCAGCATCGGGGTCCAAGGATTCTCTCCTCTGCTCCACGGTCAGCTGTACGCCGCCGTGGACCCTGAGGGCAGCGCCTGGTTTATTAAAGATAACAAGAGGTTTGAACACAACACTGGAGACTCTCTTTTAGTTCATAGACTTTATAAAGAAGTGGGCCAAGGGAGTTTGACTTCACCCAGAGCGCTCCAGTCGAATGAAGCTCACGAGGCTAGTGGTTATAGAGGCGAATTTGGAGACAGTTCCAGGTTAAGAATTTATTTACAAACAAAATTGTGAAGTAAAAACACAAGGATCATGTACATTTTAAGATCAAAACGACGAGTTTCACAGCAGCAGAGAGATCGGTGACCCCATGTTTTCTTCCTATTTGGAATGCGGAGGCTAGTGGGTTTAACCTGATTTATCAGCTGGTATCACTTCGTAGAAATCGTCTGACCTCGCAGCATTAGGATTCATTCGCTCAATGATAAACGGGTACTTTTTTTATTTAGCGAGTCGCTGCTGCTTGGTTGTGACTTATGTTATCCTGTAAGAAGAAGGGCAGTAACGTTTTTTCTCTTGATAAAATTCACCAAACATTCTCTTTGTTCAGGCTTTAAATCCTTGATCTTGGGAATCGTTGCCAACACAGAATGTATGGCTTCATCTACATCCATCTCGACCGCTTTGTTTATTGTTGTGCTGTACCACAAAAGGGACCCAGACAGGCGCTTGGGTTTTGTAGTGGCAGTTTAACTCCAGTCTGCCACTATAGCTGTGAGGGCTGTGTGGCTTTAGCTTGACTCATGTGTCTAAGATGAAAACTGAAAGATTCAATGTCCAAACTTACAGAATATTGATTATGAGGTTTAATTGTAGATGCAGATTCCATAACTGAAGAATACACAAAATATCCTGATCACACGGTCAAAAAACTGTATGGCCTCAACCCCCTACAGCTTCCACACAAAGAATAATCAGGCCACAAAGGCCACCTGGCTATGAGCCACTAGGCTCCACCCCTAAGGCTCCACCCCAAACACCTTGAACCAATGTGGGTCAAAAATGGCCATAACAGGTTTGATGTCATGGCTTCACAGCTCTTCACTGATTGGCCGATGTGTGGTCTACAACTTCCGGGGTTCTTGCAAGCTGTTTAGTGTATTCCGATTCCTGACCTGGTTGCTGGAGAGAAATGGAATTGAGCAGAGACACTAGGTGGCATCAGCCTGGCTATAGTGGGTTAGCTATGTCCATTCATATATACAGTTAAAGGAATGGACACAACATTGTAGAATCACACAGTTAGTTTGAATGCGGTCAGAGACAGCAGTGACTGAAAAGTGATTAATCCAGAAGAGCTCAACATTCAACGCCCACTCCCCTGGTTCCGTAATAAAATTTCTCATTTATTTTTCCCCATTGACTTTCCGAAAAAATTTTACAAATTTGAAGGCTTGCTCAGAACTAATCAGAATTTTAATCTGTTTCTAATCTGTTTCCGTGACGTTATTAAAACATTTTGCCATATCTTGCGTTTTAAATGTGACTTTTGGATTTAAACCATAACTTAACTTAAATCTCCTGGCCACCTCGGTTTATCTTTCACAAAACAACTGCTTCTTTTTGCATCCATTCAAAATTATCTTGCTTCAATGATCTGGTCAACGCAATTAGATTATTGAGTCCTAAGGCATGTATCTGACCCAAATAATATGGTAATCTAATTCCTTCAGAAAATACAATAACCAAGTGGTAGTTATTAAAGCTCAGAATAACATTACACAGTAAAACAATATAACACAGCTCCGAGCCTCAGAAGCAATATTTGTTTTGAAAATGTGTAAAAATGAGGCTTTATTTTTGTATGACGTCTGTCCCAACTAGTACTGACAAGACCAGCTTCAACGAACTCGGAAAGGACTCAAAAACTGTGGAAGTTATTTTTTTAAAGGTCCTATATTACACAAAATGGATTCTTTTGTCATGTAGTGGTAGTTTTTAAGTTATCCACTACCTTTTGTCTTTTGTTCAGCAGAGATGGACAGTTCCAAGACTGAAATCATCCAAATGATTGTAGTGAAGGTGCTTTTGTTTTTAGCACTTTCTATATTACCAAATGACACATCACAGGGTGGAACAGAGTTTTCATTCTGAGAGAAGAACTCAGGTTAAATGTATAGGGTTTGCATGTTTAACTTGTTAATGACACAAAACAAAACTTCAGGTATGTTTTTGATGAAGAAACAACATTATAACAAAGATCAGAAAATAATATAGGCCCTTGCTGTGAAAGTAAATTGGATTTCTGTACAGTGGTCTTATGGATTCATGTATCCCTCAAAATAGAATATATTCACAAAATGTAGTTCTATCTAATGAAACAAATCAACATATTTTTTGTGTGTGAAGCCAGAGAATAATTAATCTGAACCTTTTTCAGAGTTGCATAAAGGAGCTGTTCTGGAGCTGGGGCTCAGTGTTCAGGGTCATAAAAGTGCCGCAAAAATCAACAAGAAACTTCTGGAACAAAATGTTTTCTCCAGGACATTTTTACAAGAAATCTGTGTCCTGACAAGTTTTTCAATGAGAGAGTGAAGGACACAACTTCTTACTCTGAACTGAAAACTTTTATAATCTCTACAAACAATTTCTCTGGTGTTTAGGCTTCATTTTATTTGCTCTCTTACTCATGTGCTGTGCAACATTTACAGTGTAAGGTGAACCAGGGCGTCTCCATGGAGATGCTATTTCCTTGCTTAGTTCTACAGTTTGAGATTGAGGCGACAGTAGGTCCAGTGATAGAAGTTGGGGCTTCGAAACCTGCTCTCGACATAAACATAAACATTGGGAGAGCAGTTAGATCAACTGACCCACAGGCTGGCAGCTCCCTCAGATGAATACTATCCTTGTGTCCTTGGGCAAGACACGTAACCCACCCTGTCCCCAGTGTCTGTGTACTCTGGTGTATGTGTGTCTGTGTGAGTGGGGGAGTGTTGCTGTAAAACGCTTTGAGTGCCTTGAAGGTGGAAAAGCTCTGTATAAAAATGTGACTATTTACCATGTTATTTCCTTGCTTATTAAACATATCTGTCTCCATGGAGACAAGCTGGTGACGCCACCGGGCCAAGTTACAGGTCAGGTGTTTGGAGAGTAATGTATATTTTGAAGCTATAAAAACACTTGTGAAGGAATACACTGTAGAACATTATAGGCAAAAAAAGAACATCTCCATTTAGATAAAATAGTTGCAGAAACTCCTCCGAAAAAGGCTTTAATCGTGCACCCTCAACACCCAGGCCCTGTACCTTTTTACTCCATACAATATATATAATCTACGGAGCAGACATATGTAAAAATGTATACAGAATAATGCCTGTAAATTTCAAAATATCATTCTTTTGGACCATGTGGAACAACTGTGTGGGGCTTTCTCACACAGCTCCTCTGTTATGGTTCAACATCAGTGTGAGACAAGATACTATGTTCTTCCCTCATGGTTTTGGCCCTTTTAATTGAATGTCCATAATAGAAAATTGGCATCACAAATTCACTAAAAACATAACTTTACATAATGAAAGTCTGTACCTTCAAACATGACCTGAAAATACAGTGAAAATTGTACAAATTGTTACATATAAGAGTCATTAAGTTATTTTAAAGTGCTTCAATTAGTCATTTTTATTATGTAAGGTGATCTTTCAATAACTTTAACCACAGACTAATTTAAAACTCTAACTGTATTAATTCCCTCCTTTTAAAAGTTGCACAATATATTTTGTCTCCTAACACTCAATTAAATTAGCATTTTTCACTTTTTAATACAGTGTTTTATATTCACGCCATATTTTATCAAAACACTTTTATGGAATACAAACTGGCTTTTCTTTCCCAGCAGAGCAGCATTGTTAAGAAAAATACAACTTTAAATGCAAGACTGTGCTCCAAGGAGGTTTCACCATCCAAACAAACCACAGTGTGAAAACGTTTAAACAAAACAGGTTTAATGACATGAATCAAATTAAATGAAAGCTCACCAGTTAATTAGGAAACTTAAAGGTGCACTGTGCAACTTTTTCTGGTTTAACTAGTTCATTTGAAATGGTTTGAAGTGGAACAAAGTTATTCCTCGCGATTAAAAGACCAAAACCTCATTGAACAATTATTCCTTTTTTGACGTATGAATTTATAGCATCCTAATTATTCTCTGCGATGAGTTTATAAGTGTTTTTCATATGTTATACTGTGACAATTAAGCTGAAAACCACTAGCCTGCTAACAGCGCATTTCCTGATTATAGGACAATAAAATCAGATCCAGTCAGCACACTTATTTTGACCTCACAAGCTGCATACAACATTTGGATGCAGGTCCTTATAAATAAATAAAGTATATAAATAGTATATAAATAGGTAATATAACACTCATATTACCTACTGTATCTCTCCAAAATTAATGCAACCAAAGAGGAAAATAGAAGAGAAGAAAGTAAAGGAAAATTATATGACAACTGCCCAAGCTGCTTTTATGCTGCTTGTATGTTTTGCTAATGAATGAAACTACTTTTTGGACAGTTATGTTATCCAGGGTGTAAATTGTGTGAGGTGGTCTTTGTCTGTCTCTGAAATGGCAATCTCAAAGACCCAGAGATCTCTATTGAAGAGCCTGCCCCATTCATTAAAGCCTCAAGTACTTTTTCAATGATGTGACCAAAACTAAACAAAACAGAAGAAGACCGTGCAAGAGGTTAGCTAAGGGGATAACTAAGGAGGGGGTCCGCCGCCTATTCCGCCTCCTATCCCTTCATTACGACATATCTTTATTTAGACGTGCCGGTTTGCCGACACTTTTTAGTATCGCTGTTCCAACACGTCATATACCATATAGTGCTCTCTGAAGATTGCCTACATCTTTTTGAAAATGCATAATGATTGATGATGATTGATGATTTCCCACAGCTATCAGTAAGGACATTTTCCCACTGTCTGATATCCTCTGTGGCCGCTGTATTCTCTTAGGACACGTGGGAGCGCAAAGTTTAATAGGCTATCACATTAATATTATTCATGTTGGAAAAGCGGAATGTTTGAAAAATAGTAAAACACAGCTACTCTGACAA